CTCGTGGTGGTGGTGGCAACTCCCCGTGAGTCTGCTCAGCCTTGTTTGGAAGCCACAGGTGACCCAGCAGCATCCACAGGGATCAACGGGCTCCTCCCGACGGACACCGGAGCACTCCTGCTCCCCCAACACCTACCAGACCAAGACCATGGAGCTGAAGCAATGGATGTCCCTCAGCCTTTTCCACCAAGTTGTCTGCAGGCTTTGCAGAGCTGTGCTTCATGTCAAGGGCAGCTAATGGCTTTGTGGGAAAAACACAGAAAGGATTTACCCCTCTGAGAGCACACCGGTCTTTGCCTTCCTTGTCGCTCTTAGTTTCTCTGCTACACAACTTTCCTGTTCCACAAAAAGCTGTTCCCGGGACCGAGCTCAGTCTCCTTTTTCTCATCTCAAAAGCTGTTTCAGTCTTTTCCCAGGAGACCTCTCTGCAAGGCTTCGTGTTGTGCAAAACACTCATGCATTCGTTCTCAGAAACCTAGAACCAGATGGATTTCTTTCCCGTTCTCAAATTCAAGATCAGAAAAAATTTCCCCCCCTTTGGGACCTAATTTGCTTTTCTCTGCTGGCTTTTCTTCCTGCTTTTTATGGCCTCTCCTAAATTAAGAGGGTTTGCAAACCCTTCCCTAAGAGCTGGCCTGCGAAGTTTCACCGAGGAGAACTCTTTTAGCTTATGAAACAGAAACTCGCAATCTGTTTTCCCATGCTTGCCTTCTAGGACCATCAATCCCGAAGCGTAACCAACCTCCCGACACGCAGCATTTGGAGCTCCTGGAGCCCGGGCCTCCCCGCTCCTGGCGGACACGACTCACACAGCTGTCCCACACCAGATAAACACGGAGCAGAGCTAGAAAGGAGCTGTTTGAAGTCCCAGTTCCTGGGAGCAGGTGGGTTTTGGGGTGGTTTTGCGTGCGGCTGCAGGACAGGAGGGCAGCGCGATGCGCAGCCAGACCGACCTTCTCTGGTCACCACCTTGCTGGAGACCCCCAGCCTGTCCCTTCCCACGGGGGAAGGGATAAGCAGAGGAAAGGGGATTATTTGGAGGGGAATGAACCACAGCAAACAAACAAAGGTGACCTGCAGCAAAGCAAGCTCCTGCCTTGGCCAGCCCTCGCATGGCCTCGTCAAAACACCTCCTCCTCCTCCTCATGTGTTTATCAGCGCTGCACGAACACAACCCACGCCTTATCACGTACAGGTACGGGCTGCCCTTACCGATACAGCGTTTATATCCCAAGGAACTACTTCCAGCAGAAGGAAGAGGCGACATGGCCTACCGGGAGCGTTTCTCTTGGCAGGAGGTGCAGGGAGCGGGGGCAGCCGTACCTCCATGGCTGGGGGAGGGGCAGCGTTTTTTTAGCGAGCAGCGCCTCGCCCTGAGCTGCCGTAAGGATATAAGCGCCGACGAGGCACGTCGGGTTGGTGGCTGCACCTCTTTCCACTGACCCTCGGGCACCGACAGCCAGATGCCGCCAACTCTGCTTGCATGGAGCGGCATCGCCCTGTGTGCAGAGTCTCAAGCGCGTTCCTGGGTGCCACTGCTTATTAAGCTAGGAGAAAAGAGAAATTTAACTGGTTTTTGGATGCCTGACTTTTGTCCCCACCACACAACGCAGCATCAAGAGCATGAAAGGAACGATTTTCCTTTCATATTTAAGGAAAAGATGCTGAATGACAGGTTGCTTGGATTTAATCCTGGGAATTCCTCAAAGAGCCAGAAAGAGGGAGAGCTTTTTTCCTTCCTTCACCTACAAGCACTTATTCAATTTCTAGCAAGTCCCTCTGTTCCATGTCTGCTTATTCACAAACGTCTTTTCCCCTATATCAACCGAAGGCATTTCATTTAGCTACAGCATGAAGCCCGGACGCAGCCAGCGGAGCAATGTGCACAATCAGCAAAGTAACGAAGCTCAAATGCTTTTCACAGGACATATCGTTTCCAATTTCAGGAAACATATAGGGGAGCATTAAAAGAAGCAAGTTGAAGATTTCAACAGAAATACAAAGATACTCTGTGGCTTCACCACGCAGAGCTAACGCATGGTAACGAATGTGAAGATAGGCTTTGCGGGGTCGTTACGGTTGTGCCCTGACTCCACTGGAGTAGCTGAATTGAGACGCTTTCGTCCCTCAGGCTTTTTAGTCCAACCTGTAACAGGACAGAAAACTCAAAAATTAAACATTTCTATCAAGCTAATCACTGCTATCAGAAGCATTCCCGTAAGTAGGAAAAATGTGGCCAATCGGGAATTTAGAAAGGTTTTGAAAATTAGTCTCAGTCCCTTGCTCTTTAGGGGAGAGTTTATCATATTTTGAAACCACCTTTTGTGGAGTCAACAAAAAGCATAAATTTCTCCGGATTTTAAAAATACACCAAGGCGAGCACGCCGTTTCAACGGCCTACTTAACAGGAATAACATTGGGATTTGAGGCTGGGAACAGTTTAACTCACAGATTTAAATCTAACCCATCTCCTGGCAAGCAGGAGTCCCCTGTGCTCGTCCCCTCGGCCGCTCTCGGTACCAGCCGTGCTCTTCAGGAGCTCTGCGGAGCTGCAGGAGTTAATGGTCCTTCGCAGAGAATATGCTACACCAGACGTGATTTCTTACGAGTTTTGGGAACTCGCATTTGTATTCTGATACACT